ATGAGGCAATAGTACAGGATGGAGCAGTAAGCAGTGTTTGTTACTGATTAGAATGGAACAATTAATGAACATTCTTTCAGCTGTAGGTGTAATGGTTTCAGTAAAATGCTGCCAGGTCCCCAAGTGGCGGCAATGGGCAGTGGGCCATGAGACCACATCACAGGTCCCTGAGTGGTGGCAGGCAGCCAGTAGCGGGTTCCAAGACCATGGCAGGCCACAAAGGCAGCCGGGTCCCAGGTAGAAACTCATGTGGCAGGTGAGAGACCGAGACAGATAGGCATGCCATTCAGAGTGAAGTTGGGTATTTATTTAGTGGGTTATGGAAGGGAAGGGGAGAAGGGAGAAGAGCAGAGAGACAGAGAGACAGAGAGAGAGAGAGAGAGAGAGGAGAAGGGGAGAAGTGGGGAGAAGGGAGAGACAGAAGCTGCCTCTAGGAAAGGAAGGGACTCAGATTGGAAGCTGAAGATCAGCTTGCCTCAGCACGGGAGAGGAGTGGGTTTGGCTTGTCTCTTAAAGGGATAGGACAGACCATTACAGTAAGGGGTACCTAAATCTACTTTAGTGCTGATCTTGACTTAGAGGGCATTGAACCATTAAGCAGAGATGGGTGCTGAAGAAGCCTGGGTCTAAAATTATTTTGGTTACCTGTGATTACATCTAAATATGCTGGAGTAAGAATTGGACAAAATCATCTCCTTACTCTTCTTTCCTTGAACCAAAAGCCATTAAGCCCCAAACAGGAAATTTTAAATTAAATCTTAAACAAACATTTAATCCCCATTTTTTTATGTCTTCTATCTTTTACTACCATGCTGACATATGCGTGCAATATGATTTTCTTAAAGTTTCCTGTGAGAATGTAAGTGAATTAAAATCTACATCCTGATTCTGCTTTGTTTTAAATCACATTATTACAATACATCTATCTGCCTATCTACAGATGATACCTCCCAAGATTCCCAGAAAATATTTGAAACCTCAGATAAACTGAACCTTTTAAGTCAGGTAATGAGGATTACTTTACATGAGCAATCAGGACCTCACTCTAAGATTGTAAAAACATGAAAGTTGGGTGTGATGAGGCACACCTATAGTTCCTGCTACTTGAAAGCTTGAGGTGGCAGCAGCTGCTAAGGTTGAGGTCAGCCTGGGTTACACACTGAGACCATGTTTCAAAGCACAAACAAAAAAGCAAACAAACAAAAAGACCCTACAATAACAACATGAAAATAAATATGCACACACATAAAGAGATATTCTTTCTCTAGATCCCTAATAAACACTAACAATGAGGGCTGAGTACTTAGCTCAGTACTAGAGCGGTTGCTTAGCATGCAAGTGGTGCTGAATAAGCCCCACACAACTGAAAACACAGTTAGATATAAAATCATGGACATACAGTTGATATGTGTAATTCATAGATCAAATATTACAAATATGAACAGTGATGCTGTAAATATTCTAGTCCATGTGCTTTGGAGAACATACAGGCATGATTTATGTTAGGTGTTGCTATAGACTAAATGTGTTTCCATCCACATACATCCACACTCATATGGTGAAGCCTAGTGTGACTACACTTGGAAACAGGGCCTGAGAAGAGGTGCTATTGTTAAAAATGTCAGTAGAGTTGAAATCTGAGAGGGGTTATCAAGAGTAGGGTCACCATGTGAGGATACTGTGCTAGGAAGGAAACTCTCAGAGGACCAGAACTGGTCAATACCTTGCATGCCCTGGTTAGAAAAAAATTTCTGTTGTTTAAAATCACACAACGAATGACATTTTTTGTTATGGTAGCTCGAATAAAACAATATGGGTATAGACCAAGGAGTAGTACAAGGTCTGTGTCGTAAGTCATGCATATGAGGCTGAGGTGAGAGCACAGCGAGTTGAAGGTCAGCCTGGGAAATATAACAAGACTATCACACATACACACGGGAAGGGACTGGGGGCACGTAAAAGTTCCAATCAGGGGCTGCAGAGATGACTCAGGGTTAAGAGCACTGGCTGCTCTTCCAGAGGACCAGGGTTCAGTTCCTAGCACTTACATAGTGATTCCCAATCAGCAGCAATTCCAGTCCCAACAGATCTGATGCTCTCTCCTGGCTTTTACCAGCACAAGGCATGAACATGGTACACAGACACCCAGGCAGACAAAAATACCCAAATAGAATATAAATAAGTAAGTCTTTAAAAAAAATCCAACCGCTCTACTTTGGAAAAGCTTTCTCCATATTCTCAACCCTTTGAATTTTCTGTCTTTTTGACTCTGGTCCTTCTAAAGGGTATGTGATGCTATCATATTGTGACTTTAATGTCCACTTCTCAAACAATGATTGAAATTATGCACATTTTACACATTTATTGCACACCAGGATGTCTTCATTTATGATATGTCCAGTTCTCTATCTTTCTATGGGACTGTGTTTTCCTTAATGATTTTTAGGAGAGAATTTTAATATTTAGGAGAGCATTCAATATACATACATGTGACAAATTATTTGCATGATTAGAAGACTCCCAAGTTTTGGCATATTAGTGAGGTGACACAGTGTTTGTTGACATATTTCTTCTGGTCTGTAAAACATTCTAAAATGGAGAATGGCTCACCTATCTACTTTCATTGGAAGAACTTTTTTACATTAGAGTAGAAAAGAGGGGAGAGTCAAACAGCCTGCCCCAAGGAAACTTTTCATCTGTTATGAGGTTTTTACCCAACACAGCAGTGTCCAATATTAGTCCTTCTGTTCACCAGCTATTTTTTGTTTTGTTTTTTGTTTTTGGAAGACAAGATTTCTCTGTAGCTTTGGAGCCTGTCCTGGAAACTAGCTCTTGTAGAGCAGGCTGGCCTCGAACTCACAGAAATCGGCCTGCATCTGCCTTCCAAGTGCTGGGATTAAAGGTGTGTGCCACTTCTGCCCAGCCTGTTCACTAGTCTTTTCAAAGCCTGCATAATGACAAAAATCAGTGAATCTATGTAATACCTGACTAACCATATCAGTAGTTTGGTTGTTTTTTTTTTTTTTTATAAATCTCATATGCACAGAACCTAGAGTTTCTCAGACATGCTGCATCCCACGATCTCAGTACATGTTTTATTCAATTTCATTTTTAACTGATTTTTTATATCATCAAAGAGTCTATAATGTCCAAAGTTAACATATATATATATATATATATATATATATATATATATATATATATATATATATATATGAAGCCTGTACTCATGCTTAAGGTGAATCATTAAAAATCCACTTTTTAAAAAAATTGGTTTCTCTGGAAAGATAAGGATTTTTCTGAATAGTTTTCAGCCAAAGCAGAAGATGCAAGAAAAAATTGGCAGCTGTAATTGTTACTGTCCCATAATGAAAACAAACCAGAGTTGAAGGTGCAGTGAGAGTGGGGCTGGCCAGGCATCCTCGTTACGACAGTTTTTGGTTTTCCCTTACCAAGTCTTCACTGGCCAGGTATCTGCATTACGACAGTTTTTGGTTTGCCCTTACCAAGTCTTCACTGGCCAGGCTCCCTCCATTCTTTGCTGCTTTCTGAGTCTGGTTCTGCAAACCCCACGTTTATTATTTTATCTACCTGACTTACTTCTTATAAATCCCTTCTCCACTCAAAACAAAACAACAGACCATCCTTGATTTTGATGTGGTGCCAGTTTGCCTATTAAATAACTATTTTAAAATGTATAAATAAATTTATTTATTTCTAAAGAAATAAATACATTGTGCTTGTAATTTACTTTATATATTGGAATTCTGTGAAGATTTTGTCTGAAAAGGGGCTCTACTGTTTCTAAAACTTGACTTTGAAGATGATGGTACTGCAACATTTCCCCACCTCCTTCTAACAATTCTAGCCATTCTTCTCCAAAGTTAAACACATCATGCCTCTGCCTAAATTTTCTTCTGAAAAAAAAAAATTGTTATCTAACAAGGAATCTTATAAAGTTCAAACTATTTGCATAACTATAAGGCCTCCTAAATATTTGACATATTTGTAGAATGAACTCATTGTTGACTAACTCAAAAAATGAAGACTAAAAGAAAATTTCTTTTGAATTTTCAGCAAATAATAATTGTTATATGATTCCTACACACATCCCATTTGCATACGATGCTTTCCATTCACCTCATCCTATTTATGTGTTCTCTCCACATAAGTTAAGAACAAATATGAGCTAATATACTTCAGAAAAATGGTGGTATGTAAGGTACCTCAAGATGCTATAAAGCTTGAGAAATGCTTTCCTTACAGTAAGAGATAAAAGTAATTGAAGCAGGGCGGTGGCGGTGAAAGCCTTTAACCCCAGTACTCAGGAGGCAGAGGCAGAGGCAGAGGCAGACAGATCTCCGCGAGTTCGAGGCCAACCTGTTCTACAAAGCTAGTCCCAAAGCTACAGAGAAACTCAGTCTCCAAAAAAAAAAAAAAGTGAGTAATTGGATTATGTAGGTTGGTGACTGTCATATCCTGTCCTGGTATTCACCCAGGTGTCTCTGGGCTTCAGGACACTGAATGAGGAAGGCTCCTTTCTTCTTTTCAGGTTTGTTGAGAAGTAATATTTGTGCTTCTTTGTTTTGAGACAGGCGCTCCTCTGTGTAGCCCAGGCTGGCCTCCAACTCCTCATCCTCACACCTCAGCCTTTCAGGTCTGTGATTACCACACCTGCCTTGGGACCCTTTTTAATCTTGCACTATCTAGGATTCAGGCTGGACTGTGAACCCGACTGTGAGGACTTCCGGCAAACACGCGCTTCCGAGGTCACCAGATGTCAAGGTCAGGCAAACACAGGCCTTGTTGGCTCACTTTCCTGAGCACACCTCCAGCTCCTCAGCATCCCTGAGGATTTCCCTGGAGTCCAGCGCCTGAATCCTGTCAGTCGCTCAGGTTGGCTATTTAACGTGTGCATTTCCCCTGCTCCAGGGTTACAAACGATACCTGAGGCCACGGGTGACACTTTTCCAGATTTGTGCCCTCGCTCCGCCCTCTAGTCCGCCAGAGGCCGCGAGCCACTGTGCGCACGCGCCGCAGCCCAGCCCCCAGGGCGCTCTCCCCGGCGCGCCGCCCTCTGGGCGTTCCCTGCCCTAGCCGAGCGTGGTGAGGGGGTG